AAATAGGCTGGGGGAATGTGAATCACTTGTGGGAATGAACCTATAATTTAAATAGGGCATTAAGTTAATCCACTCATTTGCCACTATAAAGCCTGCCCCCAGATGCAGCTTAATTGTCACTTGCTACTCATTGATTGCATTTTGATGTGAGTCTGTAAGCATTTGATTTATTATGGTCCCTGCAGGCAAACATCTCTGCTAATGTTAATATGTATTTGCAGCCACTCTCCATTGCTAGCATCAGTGCTTCAGGTCCACTTCAGATCATCAAGATTGGATTCTCATAAGGAGCATGCAACCTTGTATGTGCAGTCCACAGTAGGGTTTGAGATCCTAGGAGAATCTAAAGCCACTGCTGATCTGAAAGTAGCCAGATCCCAGTGAGATAATGTAAGTGATGAGGAGTGTCTGGATATACAGGTGAAGCCTCGCTAGCTTGGCTGCCCCTCACCTCCTGTGCAATCCATATCCTAACAGTCCATGAACCTTGAGTTATAGGAAATACAGTATCCATAAAATAGAAAGCAAGTTGCCATGGAAAAGAATGTTTGTGTAACTGAGACCTGAAAGGAGCTTCTTTGCATTCTTAAGGAAGCCATGTCTTTTTGGTAAATAAAATAAAAAGAAATAACCTTGTAATGGCCCTGACACCTCAGTTCATGTTAGGAAGGGTTTTTCTATGACACCAGAAAATATGGTTCAGGCACACAGGTTTCAATGATTCATTTGGTCCAGAAACATTTTTAAATATTTGGAACAGAGCATATAAACTGGTATTTATGATAAATGTACCTTGTGTAAGCATGTTTGTAAAGATGAAAAAACTCATGCAACCATTGTTTGGTTTCTGTGATATAAATAATTTGAGCAATAAGTTTAAAGCTCTGTCTGGTCAATTTAATTTTTATAAATATTGATCTCTAAGGCTGCCGCTTAGCTAGACTGAAGCTTACAACACAATTGTTTAATATTCTGTCTCATCACTTGTTAGAAGCATGGTCTAAATATTTTTAAAAGTTTTTAAATTGAAATAGTATTTCTAGAGACTTTCTGTGAGGGCACAAGAGATTTTAATGTCTGGAGTTGAGTATAAAAACAGGTACTGCTTAAAAGATGCTAATAAATGCTGATTGAATGCAGATTGTGTTGTATTTATAGACACAAGTAGACATCATGATTAAGAATAACAAGAGAAGGGATATTGGAAATAGTCTACGGCCATACCACCCTGAACGCACCCGATCTTGTCTGATCTCAGAAGCTAAGCAGGGTCGGGCCTGGTTAGTACTTGGATGGGAAATAGTAAAGAAAAATATAGCAGCTTGAGAAGAAACAACTTAATGTAAAAATAATTGCTTTTTCCCCTGATTCTTAGATACTGTTTTAAACTGTAATGGCTGTTTCCATAAGGATCAAGGTTAAAAAGCTTAATTTATTTGATGTGTGGCTGAATGGAAGTGGTTAATAGAGAAAGGAGAGAGAAAGAAGATTGCAGTTTGGCACCAGGCATATAAATGTAAGAAATACGTAATTGCAAATCAGAAACAAGAGAAAATGACCTGGTACTTAACCTCTATCTTAGAGTGACCTTTTTGTTTCTCTCTCTCTCTCTCTCTCTCTCTGTCAGATAACAGCTAGATGTTTTTCGACATTGGACTAATAAAAAACTACTATTTCCTTTGTCCTCACAAAATCTTGTATTTTAACCAGAATGATACTGTACTATGTTCAAGGACTTCATGATTCTAATTTTATTCAGTATACAATAGGATTTATCTCTTGTTACATATTTCATTACCAGTGAACATTTACGAGTTGTAATTGGATGTGCTACTACTAGACACTGTTGTGCAGGCCATCTTTTGTGCTTTCCAAGATAATTGGTCCAAGACATCAATAATAAAGGCAAAAGATCCTGCTTACAAGATATAAGCAGGAAACAAAATGTAAAATGAAGTATTCACATCACATGCATCTGGAGATCAGTCACATTTGAAGAGGATGGTGATTACTTGGCAAGAATTATTTCAGATAAGGGGGAATTTGCAAGTCTTGTTTACAACAGGTTACCCTAAAAAAGCTTCATGAAATATTTAGACTTTCAAGGAGCTAATATACTTAATCTTAGACTTAAAGGATGTACCTCTTTTGGTGTCTGGTTTAACCCCAAGTCTGCAGTGGTAGTAAGAGAAGTTTGAATTAGAATCTGGCTAATATTGTGCAGAATCCTTGAAGCTAATTTTTTTTTTTTGGTACCGGGGATCGAACTTGGGTCCTTGCACTGGTGCAGCAGGCAGCGAAACCACTGACCTAAATCCCCGGTCCGAAGCTAACTTTTTAATCATACTAGCCCTGGAGTTGATCAGATTTGTGAACCAAATTCTATCTCTTTAGATACTGTTCCATACTGCCTCAAGACTTCTTTTGTCTTTTTTAGTCTTTGTAAAACATAAACATGAAATCACTTAATCTTTTTATTGCTTTAATCACTGTTAGTTATATTTGTAATATATTTATAGGTAAATGAAAGGTTGTTGCTTCTACATTAGTGTTATGGTTTAGGTCTAAAATTTCTTCTTTCCCAAAGTCTCATGTGTTTGGAAAGTGTTCGGATCATGGGAGTATTATACTCATCAGTGGATTCATCCATCGAGGAGTTCAGATTCGGTTAAGAGGTGGGCTCTGGCTGGAGGTGGATCAATGAGGGTGTCACCTGGAAAAAGGGTATTCTTGTCCCTGGCATCTCTCTTCTCTCTTTGCTTCCCGGCTGCCATGGGTTGGGCACCCTTTCCTCCACCATGCCTTTCTGCTGTGCTGTTTCTGCCTTGAAGCCAGCCAACCATAGACTAAAACTCTGAGCAAAAATAAACCTCTCTTTTAAGTTGTGGGTGTTGAGTATTTTGTCCCAGTGTGAAGTAAGTGACTAAGATAATCAAATGACTTTCCTTGTCCATTTGTGTTCTGCTGAATGGGGATGAACTCCACTAGACTATTTACAGTTCTTCATATGGTCTTCACAATACTCTTTTGCCAAGAAATCAAATCCAATGATACATGTAAAGAACCTGTTTGTGGAAGATCCCATTTGGAGGTTTCTTAGTTCTCTTGACTGGTATGTTGGGCCCTGTACAACCCATGGCTAGAAAGCAGTATTTTAAAAGCAAGAGCATCAGTCTCTGGCCTGGGATCAGAATTCATCCACTTTGCTAGTCCACCCCTCAGCCCACCTTCTCTAGCCTACCTTCATTGACTTTCTTTGATCTGACCACTTGCTAGCCTAAATATGTATTTTCAGCAACAATTTAATACAAAGATATACAGTTTGAGTTCAGAATTTCTTCTGATAACACTTAAATCCCTCTCTAACTTAGTGGTTCACTTTTCTATGATTGGAGTTATGTCCAGGAATGGATTTTATCTCCCTGTTTTAGTTACATTCTTGTCAGTGGGACACAATACCTGACACTCACTTGGGGAAGTTGTTCCTCAGGATTTGGTTCATAGGCATGGACCCCTACAGCCAAGACAGAAGGAAGCCTTGATACTGCTCCAGCTGGCAGCAGACCTTGGTATCATCCACATGGTGCTGGTTTTAGGTGCATGTAGGGTCAGGAAGGCTTCTACCCACAACAACTTCCCTTATTAATTAGGGCACTGTCCCTAATTTCAGTCTCAGGCAAAGTCTCTGGTCATGAACAAAATGAAGACAAACTTTCTGCCAAGCCATAGCACATATGATTTGGAGTCCAGCAACCAACGCAGTCCTCCTTCCTAGCAGAAACTTCCCAAGCCTGGTCTTTACCAGCTTTCTGGTCTTCTGAGTTCTGACCAGAATCTCCCATACAGAACAGCGTAAGGTGTTCCAGCTCTAATTCTGTAGCCAGCTTCTCCAAACTTTTGTTAATTCTTCCCCTTCCCACAAGCCAGTTCCAAAGGCTCTTGAGTCGTATGGCCAGGTAATGTCATAGCAATGATCCCACTTCTCTGGTACCGAATTTCTCTGTTAGTTACTTTTCTCTCATTGCTGAGACAAAATACCTGACACCCAAAGTTAAAGGTGAAGGGGTTTATTTGACTTACAGCTCATAGAGGTTTCAGTCCATAGTTGGTTGGCTCCAAGACAGGGATGACAACAAACAGGCATCATAGATGAGAAACAACATGGAGCACACAAGATAGCAAAGGTAACAAGGGGGAGCTTTACTGTGTCTTTCTGCCTCTTATATCCCATCCAGACTACTGGGATTAGGGTGGTGCTAAAGCACTCACTCACGTGTAGTGGTTTAACAATCACACACCCTTAATTTCAGCATCACACATTCCAGATTCAGCCATTTCTGACCGAATGAGGCCTTGGGGGGACACCCAGATCCAAACCACAACAAGTACATACACATTTAAGGTTATATGTTTGTTCTAAAATTTACTTTAATATTAATATGGGCTCCCAGCATTTTATTTATTTTTTAAAATTTATTTTATTTTGGAAAAAATAATTTATTCAAAGCTAGCTCCAAGAAGATGAAGTGGCCCATTTGACTCAAATCATCATCTCTCTTTGTACAGGTGGGTAAGGGTCCTTTATAGTAAGGATCCGAAGTGAGGGAGAGCACAAAGAGAAAATGTGGATCTCCACATTTGCTTTATCACTTCCAGCCATCTTCAGCTCATCCTTCTCTTTCTTGTGGAAAGGAAACTGGGCTCCAGCCTCCTGGGTCAGCATCTGCATTCTCTCACTTCTTTTGGGCTGAGGAGAGGAGGAATTGTTGGCTATGTGCTCAGTGGGAGGAAGTTTGGAGAAGTTATTCATCTCTAAAAAGAAAAAAAATCTAACTTTTAAAGTTCCATGTTGCAGTGCTGGTTACAATTCCCCCCTTCCTTTATTCTAGCCCTCAGTCTTGAGGGCCTTGTGATGCCACATCATCTGGCTGACTGTCTAATGTTGAATTGGCATGCATGTTCCATCACAAGTAGCTGGAACACAAACAAGGGAAAGCTAGATGTTTGAGACTGAAAAAGTATCACTAAAGGTTGTAAAGTTAAATACAAAAGATATCCAAGGTTAAGAGATGTCTAATCATTACACCTGCTATAATGGCTTTTTGCTTTTAGGTAATTATGCTTAAGAACCCTCTTTTATAACCTTTGCAGCTCTGTTTATTTTGGTAGGGTTGACACACAGGTGATTCTCTGATGCTCACACCCCCCTACTTGTCCAAATGCATTTTCTTCTCTTCTGAGGGCATTGTCAATTAACCATCTATGGCCTGTCCCTTGGTGCCGATCTAGCTTTTCCCAGTGATGGTCAGTCAGAACCCATCCCACACTGGAGGAGATGTAACAGACAATTAGAGTCCATGTCATAAAAACCCCTCTTCCCAAATTTGAGCAATATCAGAGATACAGAAGAAGTGGCTCTTAAATTGAGTTTATGTAGAGTCCATCATCGAGTCTAACCCTTTTTATTTTGTAATTAAAACCCTAAAGTATTAGAACTTTGACAAATTGTTACAAAGCTTACAAACAAGTCTATAAGAGCAAAGCAAATCTAGCCTGTAAGTAGACTTGAGCTAAGAAACGTAGTGACTGAGTTAATTTAATTTAATTTAATTTAATTTTATTTTTTGGTACCGGGAATCAAACTCGGGTCCTTGCGCTTGCGAGGCAGGTGGCGACACCACTGAGCTAAATTCCCGGCCCTACTGAGTTAATTTTTAAAAATCAATATTTCTGTGAAGCCAGCTTAGTTTTGCCAGAAAGGTATATCAAGCAAATACTACTAAGAGTCCCCTCTTCTTGTGAACCAATGTGAATCACTATTAGGGAGAAAACACAGAATTTACTAGGCCAAGACCAAGAATTACAGTTTAGTAACACCTTTAGGATTCCTTAGGTATACATGTAGAAGTGCAAATATATTTAATACAATGTATGGTAAAAAGATTAATGTCTATTTTACTAAGAACATACATTTTTGAACAAAACTGTCTCTTATCTACCAAAAGGAACACAGCTTTTGCCAATTATATGACTACTGGTATAAACAACACACAAGGTAGCAATTTAGCAAAACAATTTAGTAGATTTTATAGTATATTAAGGCAACAATCATGACTGCCTGCATTATAGGACAATTACATTTTTAGTTGTTTAAAAAATATTTTTCTTAGAGCTATCTCTAATTAGAAATGTATTACTCAAAAATTATACTGTTAACTTATATGATCAACTTACAACAAAAACATAACCTTTACATTATTACAAAAAAAGGCCAGGGATTTAGCTCAGTGATTCCGCTGCCTGCCTCACAAGCACAAGGTCCCAAGTTTGATCCCCAGTACCAAAAAAAAAAGAGAGAGAGAGAGAAATATGGCACACCACACATAAGTAGGTTACCAGTAGTTTTAAAACTCATTAATTCGTGTTTGTGTCCCAATATATGTCATATATAGATGTTAGTGCTATACATCTAGAAAGGAACATATAACATACATAGCTACAGTGAAACAGCTATCTCGGTATAAAATATGTAAACCCCAGCTCATTGTCTCACAAAGTCAAAGAATGAAATTGTGGAGAAAAAGGAGGAAGTTAGGAGAGTGTTTATTAGAACTATAGGGAGAAAGATATTTTCCAGTTGGGAAGGTGTTAAACTTGAGCCCCCAGACTCAAATTGTCAGTGCCAGAAAGAATGCACTCAGACAGCCAGCAAGAGGACTCCGCAAGGCAAAGTTTAGAGTTTACTTCTGCACAAGGGCATGAGTGCACTCAAACACAAGGCACCAGGCATACCAAGTATGGCAGGGAAGAGGAGTTATAAAGCCCTAATGCATGGAAAGCAGCTATCTTTTAAATTCATTGGCTGGATTCAAAGGCTTACAATCTATTGGAGTTGGCTAGTTTAAGCCATGTGAGGGAAGGATCTGAAGTATTGCTGAGGGAAAGGAGCAGGAGGGAAGAGGGCGTGGGGAACAGAAAGTCCTTGGCTATTGGTAAACTATCTTTGGTCTGCAATTATGTTCTCAGAATTTAGGCATTTCCTGTAATTTCAGTGTAAGGAGTGGGGCCGCTTAGGGTGGAGTAGAGTCTAAAATGGAGGCATTCTTGTTTATATCTTTTGATAGAAAAGACAGGGCCACAGTTTCTCACAAAGGGTCCCAAGTGAGTCAACTTGTCCAGAACTTCTTGTGGATAAGTGGAGCATGGAAATTGCTTAGCTTTTTAGTGACCACCTATTGGTCATCTGTGTGTTTATAATGTCAAGTTGGAACTCAGCATCTCTAAACCACTTAGCACGTAGGGTTTAAAGGAAACTGGGATTTTAAAGAATAACCAGTTATTCTGCATTTTAAATTACTTGAAACTCAGGAACTTAGTAGGGAGAGGCTGTAACTTCCTTAGTAGGGAGGAGTTACATTGCAAGTTGCCTAAGGAAGTCTGTTCTCAGGGCAAAGTCCTAGTCCACTGCCTATTATTATTTTAATTCTTATCAATGTAGCTGATCACCAACTCTAAGGTCCTTTCCATAGCTAGCTGCCTATCCATAGGCTAACTAAACTGTCTTTTACAGTGGGGAAAGCCCAGGCTTTTTAAAAAAATTAATTTTATTGGTACATTTTAGGTATACAATATAATGACATTCGTCATTGGAAATTTGCACCTTTACATAATCTCTCTTGGTTCTTATTTTTCCCCCTTCCCCTTCCCTCCCTTCAACCCCTCCACCCCTCCCTATTTACAAAAGCTTTATTTCCATTTCTTTCCTTCTTTTCTCATATTTTTTCTTTCCCGTCCCCCAGCCCCCTACTTCCCCTTCCCCTTTGAACCTTTGCGTCCTATTTCACAATATCTATTATACATTTTGGTCCTCATTTACACTTTTAGTTTCTCACACCAGAGAAACTATTCGGTATTTACACATGTGTGCCGTATTTATTTCACTTAAGAGTATGTCCTTGACATGCATCCATTGAGCTATAAATGTCTCTAGTTTATCATTCTTTATAGCTGAGTTGTATTCCATTTTATTTTAAAAAATCACATTTTCTTTATCCAGTAACCAGTAGATGGGCATATGGGTTGTTTCCAAATTTTTGCTATTAAGAATTGTGCCCCTATAAATGTGGGTGCACGTATATCACTGTGGCATGATGCTTTTAATTTTTTGGAGGGGGAAGATACCCGGCAGGGGAATAGCTGGGTCAAATGGGACTTCCAGTCCTAGTTCTTTGAGGTGTCTCCATACTGATTTCCACAGTGGTTGCACCAGCCTGCACTCCCACCAGCAGTGGAGCAGGGTTCCTCTTTCCCCACAGCCCCACCAGCATTTCTTATTGGTTGATTTCTTGATAGCAGCCATTCTACCTGGAGTGAGGTGGAATCTCAGCACTGTTTTCATTTGCATCTCTTGAATGACCAGTGATGTTGAACATTTTTTAATATTTATTTGCTATTTCTACTTCTTTGTCTGAGAAATGTCCATTCATTTCAGATGCCCATTTTTGGACTGGGTCTTTAAATTTGAGGGTTCTGATTTTTAAAAATTCTGTATATATTCTAGATAGTAGACCTTTGTCTGAGGAAAAGCTGGTAAAAATTTTTTCCCACATTGTGGATTGTCTCTTCACGCTGTTGTTGGTTTCTCTTGCTGGGCAGAAGCTTTTTATTTTTTATTTTTTAGACGCTTTTAAATAAGATGTTCCATAAACAGTCTTTCCTGTGTATCTGGGCTTGTATAGAGATACAAGACATCATAGTTGGATTTCTTGACACCTACTGCTCAGCTTGTTCCTCTTTCCCCCAACACACACCTGAAACTCAAGGGTTAAAATAGCTTGAAGGGTTTGGAAATGTTTAAAGACATTTGGAAAGGAATATTACAAGACAAAAGGTGCTGCATCTAGGCTTGACCCTTTGGGAAATTTTTCTCTGAAGCGCTCTGCAACAGGAAGGAAAAGGAAGCCCTTTGCCTCTTCTTTCCTACAGCCTACTGCTTTCAAGCTGTAGAATACTGATTAGTACTTACTAGTAATCTTATGGTTGCAATCAATTTACAATTCATAGGCTTTTGTGAGATGATCTGAGACCCTAACCAACCTTTGTTCTTAAGGGAAAATATGTTCTGAATTTCAAAAGGTTGACCTGTGGAAATGTTGGACCACAAACCACTGATAAATTGGTGATGGCTGGTCAGTTAATCAGGCATGGTTTTTCCACCAGGGAGCCTGAGGAAATGGATTTCCAGGTTTGTCTCTGTATCATAATGGGTGTCACTCCATTTCTGTAACTCTGGGAAAATAGTAGAGTTTTTCCTTTGTCGAGATTGGTATAATTGTTTTTGATACATGAGAAAAGTCTGGTTACTTTTGGTGATAATGGTCAACATTTTGGGAAGGATGTTCAGAGCAAGTTTTAAAAAACACTGGAGTTCAGCCAGGCCTGGTGATGCACGCTGGTAATCCTGGTACTCAGGAGGCTGAGGCAGGAAGATCACTGTGAGTTTAAGTTCAAGACCAGCTTGAACTGCATAGCAAGACCCTGTCTCATACAGAAAAAAAAAAAAGATAAAAACACTGGAGTTCACATTTTTTCAAATACATTTTTTTCTTTCTGTAATTAACACTCATTGAAGCAATTCATATGACAGATTCTCCCAAGGTCTCTAAAGTATCAAAATTACTGAAGCATGAAATACATCATTTACTTTTACATTTGGTCACTAATCTTCCTTAAGACACTTTTACACCATTGCTCAATTAATGCAACTTACATTTATCCACTCTATTTGCAGAACACACTCACTGGATTAAGTAAGATACACGCTAAAATTAAAGTGGCAAAAAATATTCCAAGAAACATGATTCATGTAGCTTAATTAAACATTAACATTATTAACAGTATATCACTTTTTGAGGAAAGATGAAAGAACACTTGGCTTTAGAGGGGAAAGGAAGGACTGAACAGGGTGAAAGTGAAGTAAGATGGCAAGCTTTCTTCCAGGTTCTAATAATACATAGAAATAGCATCAAAAAGAAAAAGAAAAGAAATAGCATCGTTTCTCC